ACCAGGCCCGACCACTGCGCGCACGCGCAGTAGAGGGGCCGGGGAGGGGAAGGGGGCGCACACGCATGCGCACGGCGTGGTGCCCCCGTCCAGCGCATGCGCGGGAGGCGGGGAGGAGTTGGGAGCGACGCGTCGCTAGGGAGCGGCTACACCCGCTTGGGACCTGGCACATGCGCAGGTGGGGAAAGGCGGAGGGAAGGCGCGTGCGCAATAGAAGCGCGGCGCCCTCTGAATGGAGGGGGCGGTGAGTAGCTAGGCGCGTGTGCAACTGCATAGCGCTGGGCCAATCAGCGGCAAGACCTGCCATAGGGCCGGAAACGGGCGTGACCACAAAGCAAGAGGAAAGTGATATTGGATTGGTTGGCTCCAAGAGGAGGGGCGGGACAAAAAGTAAACCTAGGTAGGGATTGGCCAGCCGAATAACGGTTGCAGGAAAAGGGGCTGCGGTCGTTGCGAACTCCGAGCTCTGATTGGACGAAACCGCTCGGGGCTGGGGCGGGGCCCGAGGCCAAGAGTCTCCTTCTTATAGGTGTCCGGAAAGCCCGGGGGCGGGGCCACCCCTCCACATCTCCGCCCGCTGTTACCAGGGCAGGATTGGTGGCCGCGCATGCGTAGCGGTGCCCTGTGGGACCCGCCAGAAAAGGGCGGGAAAACGGGGCCAACGGCTGGAAGCGGCCGTTAAACATCACCTGGTCAAGATGGCGTCGGAGAAAGCCCTTCCCGCCCTGGGGGACACTGTCTGCCTGGCCTGATGCAGTGACACAAGGCGGGAGGGCACCGTGCCATGGCCCCAGCTATGCTCCTGGGGAGGGGTGCTGGTAGCAAGCAGAGACAACACTTCCGCACCCGCCAGCCCCAACGTGAGGGGAACCAGCCCCGCCGTCACCACCCCGCGCCTGCCAGCCCCAGGCCGGAGGAGAGCCGCGCAATGCCAGCCCAGGCCGGGGCAGACGATGCCCTCATGGCCGTCAGCGCCACTGCTACTTGTGACTAGAGCAGCAACACCGGCGTGCATCTGGCCATGTCCTGGCCGCGGAGGAACAGGAGCCTGGGGCCGCGGGGAGACGCCCCGGCCCCAGCTCAGCTGGGCGCGAGGCCGCCACAGCTGCCAGCCCGGGAGAGGGGCCGCACCGCCCGCTGGCCCCGGAGCCCATCC